GGCGCATGAACAGAAGGAATTTCTACGTTTGGGAGCAAGCATCGGGGTTAATGGGAAAGAGTCATCTGGTTCCTTGGGTGCTATTGTGGAAGATGTAAACAGAGGCACCCTATACGCACTGTCCTGTGATCACGTGATGAACAATGCCGACGAGAAGCAGATAATTCATCCTGGATTAGATGTCTATCTTAATTATTTACGATACCATCTGGGTGAATACAAAGGTTGGGTAGAAAGAACCATTAGACCTTCTGTCGAGTTACCGACATTTCCAGATCATACTTTGGAAGAAACTGAACTGCAGAATATGTTCAGCGACCTGAAAATACTAAAAGAGAACTACATCGCCTCTGGAATACGGCGTGTGTCGGAGTCTCGCTTGAACCAGATTCAGCTCTACGAAGACAAACTTGAGGAAGCTTTCGGGAAACGGCCAAGAGTCATAGGAAAGTACCTCGCTGGTGTCAGATACAATGTGAAACTGGAAACGAACAGTGGCAAAGAACATTTTATTGATGCTGCCATTTCAGAATTGAACGAGGACGAAGTAGAAAAAGTAAAAGCTGAAGGGGAAGTAGAGATAATTGGAACAAATCATTACCCAAACGGCGAGTGTCTTTCAGCAACAGCAGTTGTTAATGACCTATTTAAGAGTGGCAGTGCTACAGGCTTCACCCGATCAAACCGTCTTGCTGATGAATTGGGAAACAGACCAACATATATTCGGGGACAAGGTAACGGTAGATGGATAGATGTAGAATGTATCAATTGCAGTAAAACTGGACCAGCTCAGTCACAAGCTCGAGATGTGCTTAGTCCATGTGAACAGTGTAAGCCAGAAAGATGGCTTAAGAGATGCTTGTGTATTCAGCAGCAAGGAGCGAAACCCTTCTCTGATATTGGTGATTCTGGGGCTGTGATTTTTGAGGAGCGCGGAAATGAAAAGCTCGCCGCTCCGGGGTTTGCAATAATCTTTGCAGAACTTCCAACTCAATACTACAAGTTTGCCGTAGCTTTACCATTAGAAATTGCCCTCGAAGCACTGTCCAAGGAAGTCTCAAAATTGAGACCCAACAGTAGTAAGCCCTGTCAATTGAAATTGGCTTCAAAGTTTTGAGACTATTTGAAGTTGGAAACTTCGTCAGCAGTCTAATAGTACTCTTTTTTTGTAATTTTGCACCAAATTAACACTAGCTGTGTGTGCAATTTTAATGTAATAGCTACTTTATCTTGTGCGATGTAGTCATGAGAAGGCTGTAGTTGGTGACTGGCGTTTCGACTACCTAAAGGATCAAGTCATGTGTAGACTTGTGTGTAAACTGTCACGAAATTCTGAAATCGTAGTGCTCGTTTTGATCACTTCGTGCACAGCAAATAGATTAGAAATTTCAGAAAGATTATATTTAGGTTCTGGTGAAATGGCTGGCGTCACAAGGTTTCTTCACTTTATCCTGAGCTGTATTTGATCCTAGTTTGTTGCTGCACTGCTAAAGTCCTTTTTTAAACTTGGAAAATATTATTTTACAGCTTTTGTAATGTGTTACACATAGCAACGATCGCGTTATTGGAAGACATATCCTTATCTTCTTATTGTTAGCCCTTTTAAAATTTATATCTTATCAATTTTCCCCCTTTATACAGGTAATATTTATTTACTTATTTAGTTACTAATTTTTTTGATTGAGTAACAGTAAAAAACGATCGAACAATTGAAATATTGGTAAGACTCTGCACTTAACTAGCATGCGTAATTGAGGCCAAATTGGTTTGTCGCTTACGCGAGGTAAAATGGACTGTACTACCTTTATAGCATAAATCAGAAACTAACAATCCCGGCTAAGAAGTACAAAGCTAAATGACTATGTAATACGCACACTGCGGCAAATCAGGGGCAGAGGAACTTTTTCTTCTATGTCTTTTTTTTTAAGTGTACAATAAGCATATAGTAGGAAATTGTATATTATTGTACTGAGTTTTCAATGTACTTCTTGCATGGGGAGACAAGGGAAGGAACGTAATTGCGGTAGTGTAAAATTCCTTAACCTTACAAGTTCTACAATAGGTGGTCCAAAAAATAGACATCAAGGACACCAATATTTTAATTGACATGTAGGTTTTTTTATTCCCAGCTGCTTTGGTATTGTTTACATGCCTGTGAATTTGTGTATACTTGGAATGTAACTGATAATAAAGAGATGAGAGTTATATTTCCAGTACACTTTTTTTTTTATTTAACTTTCATTCGCCTTTTCTATGTTTGATTGCTGTTATAACTAAAGCCGAGACCTTCCTTTCCTAATTTCTTGCCTTTCTTGTTCATCTCACTTACAGTCTTCTCATTTGTAGTTTGCTTTCTTTAACTTTACTTCGCTTAAATTTAAACCAACACGCTTGAGGTGCTGCCACTGTTTGATTTTATGCAGAGAATGTGACCTGTCATACCCGACCTCTTGTTACATTTGTTACAGGTATTTTTATCTACTCTCGTTTTTAGCTCATT